CAAATTTGTTCATAAGATTGTCATTATATTTACAGGCAAACTGACATATGTAATTGGGAGTACATTTTGGAAGGACTAAAAAACACTGTACACTGGTGTATCACTACACGAGGCACTAAACTGACAGCATCTGCTGGTATTTGTCAAAGAGACATGTATGTGTTTAGTACTTTTGTTTTTTGAAATCCGTATAACTCATGCATCCCTTTCATTACACAGTACGCTCATTATGATGACTATAAAAATATTTTGTGGTTAATGACACATTATATGCTGATCTCTTTAAATCTGTTGCATGATTGAGCTGCATTATAGACAACTAACATATATATATATATATATATATATATATATATATATATATATATATATAACATTAATTTATGTTGGTTACATTTTTATCTATTTAATAGTATGGTGAGCAACAGAGAACAATATTTCAAAAACACTGCTAGTGTGGATGATTTTGACGTCATGAGCAGGATGTTATGTTTGGACCGTCTGCCTGGACTGGAACTCACACAAACTGCACTAAAGAGGGAAACATATTTGTGCATGCTGCGTGCTTTGGTCTGACTCACAGAAGCACTCTCGCAGCATGCACAAATATGTGAAATGAAGACATTATGTATCTCTCAACTGCATGTAAACACATGCATGTATCTACAGTCTTTATCTTTGCCTCAATTCATAGGATTATTTCTACAAAATATCTAACCAACAAAAATTACATATCTTAAAATATATACTTTGTTCTTACAGAGGTACAATATTTTGGCTCTTACAAAGGTTTATTACTCAAACAAATCTATGATTTTCTCACCTGAGTCCAGGTTGTTCCAAATTTGCATTTTTTTTGTAAATGATTAATTGACTGATTGGTTTTTTGAGGAACAAATTCTTAAGAATGTACTTGCTCCTTTTTATAACCAGGCAGGGACAGCACATCAGTCTATATTTTAAGTGAATTTGTACGCTCCGGTGGAGGTAAGATTGTAAAGAGAATTATGTACATTCTTCAAAAACTTTCACGGAATAAAATAGCGGCATACAGGTTTGGACAACATAGGAAAAATGTGCCTCTACTACATGCAAAACTCCAAAAACATAACTATACATTCAATTTACTGCTGTTTTCAGATGAAATGAACATTATGATTACAGGAGCAGATTATCAATTAATGAAGACTTATTTTAACGCTGTTCCTTGCATAATACTGTTATGACCTCTAAACACCTTTATTATAGTGCATGACTTGCAAACTGCTTGCTTGAAATCTCACCTGGTATAGAATTGCACTTGCAATGTGGAGTTTTTGATTAAATCTCACTACAGGCATGTTTTTCAATGAGCCTGGGTTTGGAACAACATCAGGGAGACTAAATAATAACATAATTTTAATTCCTGTTCCTTAAAAAAAGTCACCCATTTTGTAATAATAATAATAATTTAAATGTTTCTCCTCGTCTTAGAAAATGGTATTTGAAAAAAAAAAGCGCATAAATATGTTGTGGATGTAGATGTAGTTAATGGCCACCACTATATGGGAGAACAACAACACAAGGCAATTTCAGACATATATAAAATGAACACCAATTACAGTCGAGACTCTTTCCATCACAAAGCCACCCATTCCACCGTATATTCCAACCTATGTGTAGTGATGATGTACTTTCACCAGACAGACTCGCATACTGGACAGAATGATGCTGATGTTGTTTTAAAATTATAAACAGGCTTTCTTCAGCTCAATAATCAGACGCAGGGCTCCTCATTTGCAGAGCTCTCAGTGACAGGTGATGAAAAGACCGTCAGACAGACCACTGACAGGTGCCTTGAGCTTCAACTCAATTGTGTGATCCAACATCATTATCAGCCTTATAGCACTGACGCCCACAATCTTCTGATGACAGACTGTATTAGGGTATAACCTGGTTGTACTCCAATATTTTTTCCGTTCATTACAAAATGAGCACATTTTGTTTATCTCTTCCTACCCCCACAATCTATCATTTCCTTTGTTCAGCTTTGCTCATAAAATAATGCCTTGAAGATTGAATTTTTTACAGCTGCAATTTCAGCACATTTCATCCACTCATAGTTGCTAGTGGCTGGCCACTACTGCTCAATGATTTATTTATTTATTCTTTTTCTTTTTTTTTACAGTGAGGTACTGCTTGTATGAGAGGAGAGGCTTCGAATCTTGAGAACATTTTGAAGCAGCGTTGATAATCATTTAAGGCTCTTGTAAACTGAATTTGCTACACCGCAGAAGGTGTTGAAATTGAATTATAGGAAGAGAAATTGACAGAATTGGAATGAAAAAAAATCCCCAAATCTAGTCCCACTAACAAGAAATATTACAAGAAGTGTGTGTGTGTGTGTGTGTGTGTGTGTGTGTGTGTGTGTGTGTGTGTGTGTGTGTGTGTGTGTGTGTGTGTGGTGTGTGTGTGTGGGTGTGTTTGTGTGTGTGTGTGTGTGTGTGTGTGTGTGTGTGTGTGTGTGTGTGTGTGTGTGTGTGTGTGTGTGTGTGTGTGTGTGTGTGTGTGTGTGCGCGCGCGCGCGCGCGTGTGTGCCGTGTGTGTTTTATGGACTATTATTTTGATCTTCTGTTTTGTTTCCTATAAGAATACAATCACCCTGTCTCATTGTTCAACATATTTAACTAATATAGTATGTTTAATGCTTTATTTTGTTTATTTCCAGAAAAGCCATCATGGGCAATGATTTAACTGTTACATATGTATTTTATTTATAATACAATGAATATAACATTTGTATGATGTGTTATAGTATTCACCAAGTAGTGCTGTGAGTGTTAGGTTGGTGAGCGTTGCATAGTTATATGTGTGTGCAGAAGCGGCTGTGCAGAGTTAAATCTGAGGTCAAAGAGATAAGGACGAGACTACTCTATATCACTCTACAGATGACTTATCAAGTCATGCTCAAAGTAGAAAAGATAACATCTATTAGAGCAGCTTTATAACTATCTGTAAAGTATGTTGCTGTGGATGAAAAGTGATGCAGACAAGAGGAGATGAGCTTGCCATATGCGGAGAACACATAAAACAGGCCTTTTAGGGGACATTCCTAGTCTGGATGACCTCATTTGGGGAGGTCACTAATTTATCGTTAAATATCTCTGACAATGAGAGTGACATCAGTGAAATTGCTTTGATTCAAAATCTTTAACTTATATAGAGTATTTGTAGAATACGTATACTGCTAGATAAACTAATCAATAAATTGATTTCTATTTTTATAACAATTACTGCCTCCCGAGGCATTGATTTATGACGTTAAGCTAGAACAGACCACTGAGAAGTCTTTCGTTTGAATGTATATTAAATATAATTTAGGTCTGATTCGACTTACTTACCTGACCTTAGAATAATAAAAAAATAAGGTATCAATTCAATTCACTATTTCAATTCACATTCGAATTATAATTGTGTATTTTGTTTGCTTCAAATTTTGTTAAAAGGTATTCTCCATTTTTTTATTCAGTTTTGCACATTCATTTGTCTTGATGAAGTAAAACAATGATTTGACTATACCACACAACATTGTTTTCCATAGCTTTTCTTAATACCTTTAATCTTAATATCGATTGAGATGTAGGTTACAGGATTAATCTTTGTAAACCACACACACTCAAAAAACAACTGTTGCTTATGTTTTCCCTGCACTCCTATCTTTATCAGTGTGTAACTTATAATTTTCTAATTTTCCAAAGTTAGAGAACCTTGTGTTAAAGCTAAGCTCTACTTTACTCTGAAGCAGAGTAGAATTAGCACTCAATTAGTATGTTGATTAAAGCTGTCTGTGTGTAGAAGCACCTCAGTACCAAGAGAACAGAACAATTACTGTAATTTTGAAATGCACAGCTGGTGCAGTTCCTTTTTACACAATGTCATTTTCCAGTCAACCCAGTGACTTGGAAGACTCTCGCTGTGGTTGTCAACTAAAAGCTGATAAATTAAAAAGATATTCTGCCTTGCACACAAAAAAAAACTGTGCTTTTTGTAATAGAATGAGAACCAATTAAAAAATTGTGAATCATGGCCCACTGCAGCGATGACAGATCTTTATTTTAAAAGGGTGCGGTTAGAAATGTCATTTGAGCACCACCTCTTCGACTCCACTCACAGGGAGCATATATTACCTTACAGAGTGATATTCATCGCATCTAAATGCCACACTCTGGAATGAAATGGAACAGGGTGCACAAAATATGAGATGAGCCGTCTCTTGAGATATCCACGGTTGTGCCCCATAATGCTATTTCCATCAGATGATCCCAAAATGAGGTCATTTCCTGTCTCTCCTTTACCGATGGGTTCATCAGAACCCTGAGCATACACTGAGTGTATCCTCTCTCAAGACATGAAACCTAATAAATTAGAAGACCATAGGATAATTACCCATAAGCAGAAATCTGCATGCAACCAGTTAACTACCAGTCAACACCAGTTAATCCTCCCTACAATTTGTTCACGAAAAAGCCTATGAAAAACACCTAAGATTGCTAATACCCTGTTCTAAGACATGAAACAAAATAAGTATTGCATGACCTGCATCCTGTGGTTTCACAGTATGTGCTTTTGAAAATGGTAAGGAATTTGCTCCAAATATTCATTTTTACAATGTGCACTTGCTGCTTTACATATCTGATTCACATATTAATTTAATATGCTCAATCCAACACACAATGTAAAATTGAGACTGGGGGCAAGTTGGCACAGTGGCTTTATCTCAGTAGGCTAACTATAATGTTTAGCTACAGTTCTTGTTTTATCTTGCAGTGTTTTTTTTTTTTTTTTTTTATGTCGCAAAGTCAGTGTGTGGCTATCTTCCATTTATTAAACAAATAATCAGGATTAAACGTTTATCAGGATAGATAGATAGATAGATAGATAGATAGATAGATAGATAGATAGATAGATAGATAGATAGATAGATAGATATTCAAACAATATTTATGTTTTGCCTTGCTTACCTTACCACCCCGTACATCACCAGGATGTTTCCCAGGAGTCCCACCACGCAGATAACGGAATATAGAGCAGTGATGGAAATTGCGATGATGATTCCCGCGGGGCTCTTTACCGGGTTAGGCTCGGTGTAGTTCCTTCCGTCAGGAACGAACCCCATAACGTCGTCCGGAAAAGTAACATTAAACGGGTTAATGGAGTAAAGGTCGGACATGTCGCCACCGGGGATGACAGACGGCTCCATCGCTTCAGTGTCGCTGCACGCTCACTGAGGGGATGGAAAGTTGCGCTTGACGATTTGAACTTCTCGATAACAGAGGGGGGGACAAAATACAAAACTACAATATAAGCTCGGTTTGTGCAAGAATCGACACGCGATTAATAAAAACTAAAGTCCATCATGAGTGAGTAACAGTAGCCTTAGAATGAAAGCTTCCCTCTGTTCAGCTTCCGTCTACAGGTGTGAGATGAGCTCTCTCTGATCTGCTAGAAAGGCTCAAACGTGCGCTTTTTTATGTGAGGGGAGTGAGTGAGTCGGAGGGAGAGCTTTGCTACGTCAACCTGCTATGCTGTATTCGGATTCCTGACATACACTTGATTACTTATATAATAACCCCTGCAAGGCTGAATAAGCGGAGAACTAAACTGCTCATAGTAAAACGATGCCAGAATGAGCCTGTTCTTCTGAGAATGTTCTTGTTAGCTGGGATCCTAAACAGGTTCCATTTGTTTTACAACTTATTTTATGTGAAATAATAACAATAACAACCTATAGCTGATGGCATTATTTATTTACTTACTTACTTATTTTAAATAGAATTCCCTTTCCTATGAGGATATAGCTTCATATTTATACAACAGTAGGTTTCTAATCTGATTGGCTGGGGGCCTTCCAGGAGTGCTGATATTTCAGCACAGGGCTCACATAATGTACCAGTTACGTAATTTATTTGTAAATTCTTGATAATTTCTTGACATAAATTGACAATGTAAGTATGATGTTGCATGCTCAAAATTTTATTAGGCTACCATCAAATTACCAACTCACAAAATTGTCAGTATGATCTCCTAAGACAACCAAGAACATTCCAATTGCACACTATATTTAGCCTGGGTTTCCCCCTTTGCACAGCGCGATTTTATTCACGCTGCTAGGCAGTCTGGATACCATGGACCAAATGTTCGCCTTAGCGAGGGGACCAATCACAGAACGGGGAGGGAGCAAGACGATGACGACGTCTATGCGACACACCGAAGCAGTTTGTTTATGGACAGGGCAGGACTTAGGGTGGTGGGGGCCCCTGGGCTTGAGTCACTTTCGGGCCCTACCTTCTATACATTACTTTAAATAGAACTAAATGATACATACACAAGCTATGTATTAGAGCTACACAATTCTGGATAAACTGAGAATAAAAATAGAGATCACGATTCTGAACAAACAACTTAACAAAATAACAATTTATGTTAATTGCTGAAGTCTATTAAAAATGTTTAATTAATCTGAATTATTTATAAAAAAAAAACTTGGATTTGAATGATTCAATTCCCCAATTAAATACACTTGTTTCATAGATGAATCAGCATTTTTGAACGAATCTCTTGAATGAACGATTCAATGAGAAATGGTTTTTTAAGTCATTTGTCGCCATCTGGTGGCGTAACAATATAATCGATCCAATCTTTATTTGAAGTGCAAAGCTACTTTCAAATGGTGACTGGTACCATAGACAAGGTTACATGTTAGAAAACGTAATAATTTATTTATATGACCACTGATTGAAGCTTAAAAAAGTTTTTTCCAATAAATAAATATTATATATAATATATATTATACTTTTTAGAGGACTTTTTACTTTACTTTTTAAAATATATTTTTTTTCTTTTTTTATTGAAAAATACTAGATTATGTTTTATTATGAACTTTTGGCATTAAAAACCAAAGTTTCAATTATTAAAAGTGTGTGCGTCAACTTTTTGTGACAAAGGTCAGAAACTCCTGTAATGAAGTTGATTTTTTGAGGCGCACTCTTGTCATAAATTCATATATTACTGTTCACACATAATTTGTAAGAAAAAAACAGCGCTAAAATATCTATTAAGGAGTCTTAGACCTTTCCAACGATATATAGTTTGTCATTACTAGATTAGGATTTAATAGTAATATAGTGAAGTAAATTTAGGTTGCCCGTATATGGGCAGGTGACAGGATCATTAGATGTAATTGGAGAACAGGGATGGTTGTAACACTGGTCAGTTGTAACAATTCCAATCTGTCCAATCAGGAACTAGTTACAAATCACCTGATTCACTTAGCACATGCTCAGTTTAGTTCTTATTCCACATGAGATAAAGTAGAGCCCAGTGGCAGACACAGCAAATGTTAGAGTGGAAAAAACAATTTTGAGGTAAGAAAGTAACCTTTTTTTACTTTTTGTTATAGGAATTTCTGCTTTGAAGTTAATCTCATCAAACTTGTATTATGTTTATTGTGTGTCTGTGCAGATATTTTCCATGCAAGTTGTTAGTGCTAATGTTTTGCCTGTTAGCTGTAAGGTGAGCTAGTTCATGGCTACATGACTCTGGGTTAGTTGTAGTCTCGCGTAGCCAGACCTTCAGACTGACGGCTGAAGGTCTGGAATTCATAGCAGCTTTCTTTGGCCAAGGCCCGCCCATAAGGCCGTTTGACCGACATGTCAAACAACCAATTACAGTTCGTTTCGTTCAGCATCACGTTTCGGTGCGTGGAAATGTCCCCACAACAACAGACCAGCGTGCAACAAGTCAGTCAGCATAGAAAATCAAAGAAGGAGAAGAAAACTTCAAGAGTCTATGCCGTGAACCTCGCATACTTTTGAGAATCCTACGTTTAGCTGATCTTGATAAATGCTCATTGTCACTCATGTAAACACAACGTTAGTTTTTCTTCCGCAATCACACGTCTGCGCTTTGTTTCCCTGCGGACCGAAAATAAACACGACACTCGCACCCCCCGGAAATCCGATAAAATTCAACCAATCAGATGACGACTTCGACATTGCTGAAGTGTTTCCAGTTAAGTGTACCATATGCATCAGACGTTTAGCCAACGTTCCGTGGGCGTGACGTCTGAGGCTGAGACTAGGTTAGTTGTAACAACAAGACTCTGGGTTAGTTGTAACACACACACACACACACGCGCGCACACATATATATATATATATATATACACACACACACACACACACACACACACACACACACACACACACACACACAATGTCCAAGTGTTCAATTTTATTATGGCCAATACTAACACTGGCAGTAACAAACATGCTTACAAACAATGTTTGTGTTCAAGTTCAATTTATAATGGTCAATTACTATGACTGAGAGTGACAAACACACTGAGACTAAGAGTGACACACACATCAGTTATATTGAAAAGTCAGTGTTGAATAAAAACCTTTAAAAATAATTTTTTTGTCAAAGTCTTTATTTCATTATGTTACATATCACCCCGGTGGATATCATAATGTTACATCTCACCCCAGGGTATGTTACAACTTACCCAGCCTATGGGGTGAATTGTAACATTTCACTCCTCGTGTTTGAAACTAAACCATGCATTTTCTTTTTGTGTTGCAAAGATAATAGCTATGTCATTTAATAGCAGACACTTGTAACTAGTTTGGATCACATTTTGAACACACTGACTTCAAAGTACTACCAGATATAGACAGAAAGGTCAAAATTGTTACAACCATCCCCGGTCTCCCCTACTCTAGCAAAAATACATGAATAGAAATTTATAGAACATGCCTAACTTAGTTAAAATTTAGTGGTAGGCTAATATAAGATGGCAATTATAATATAGGAAGTGCCTTCAATTGCAAGAATATAGCAAAATAACTCATTGAACAGTGCGAGATAAATTGTGTGTGTGCGTTGAGATAAATGCTTGCGTTTGAAATGAGTTTTAGAAAACAGTCTCTTCTGATGTTTGTAGTGGCGTTCAGAAGCCTTGGTATTAGCATCCTTATTTTGAAGGGACTCCGGACCTTTTCGCGCCCAATAAGCACGCACTCTTTCATCAATTTTACCCCAGCGAGCAGGATCAGTGGATAAAGAATCTGTAGTTGGACGTTGTTCGGTCGCTGTTTCTGACTGAAGAGATGATGATTCATTGATGGGCTGCCCTGCTCGTGAATTCAAATCATCTCCAACCGTTTCTTCCAGCGGGTTCGGGTTGTTGTCCTCTGGATTCTCCGCTTGCACATCAGGCTGTGGTGTCATGGGTGTAAAAAATCCAGTAATTCTTTTCATTACTGAGAACTTCCTTTTTGCGTTGCTGTCTTTCATTATTTAGTTTTCTTTTAAGCGCGCCACTCTGATACCGTTTGTCCGCCATTACATCGCTGTCTAATGCCTGGCTCACACTACAGGAGTTTTAGGCCGATTTATGCCCGATTTACCCCTCCCGAGAATCTGAGAAAAAATCTTGTCGAGCACCTTGATCGGTTCCGATGTTCGGCGCAGATTATCTGGTAATGTGAGGCGTTCACAGATCGAATCTTTCACCTCCCGATCTGCTCGCGGACACATCGGGGCCGCCCCGATAATATCAAACATGTTTGATATATAGGATTATAAATCGGGCGTGAAGCAACTATGATACGTCAGTACTTCCACAATAGCCAATGAGAGACAGGTCTACAAGGAGACGGAAGTGACGGAAATTTTTAAAATGTCAACCGCGAAAGCAGCAGCTGTACGGGTCCAGTGGACAACGGAGATGGAAGAACGGATGGTGGAGATGTGGCAACAGTACGAGTGCCTATTTAATGTCTCATCAAAAGAGTACCATAACCGGAACGACAAAGAGAAGAGCTGGGGAGAGATCTCTTCAGATTTAAACATACCGGGTGAGTCTAAAAAGTTGCTAGCGAACTAGCTGGCAAATGTAAACATTAGATCTAGGTCAATGATCATCTGCTACATTCAGGTCTAACAAAAGATGCATTGCACACAGTTTGTTTGAATAATATGACTAATATTTAATGATATTAGTTCAGCTGAATTTAGAGAGGAAACACAGTGTATGTAAGTGTCAGTGTATTTTCAGTGGATGAGGTTAAAACGAGAGCAACAACATTACGGACACAATACACCAAGCTTCTCAAACCCAAACCAAGTGGGAGTGGGGAGAAAGGTCTTACTCATAAGCAGGCTTGGCTGTTGAGGAATTTGGAGTTCCTCAAAAAACATGTTGCCC